GGGTGCATCCTCCAGGTCCTTGCACTAATGGAACCATTGCAATGATGCATATGGGGACATATGCGTGTTTAAGGAGGGGAGTGGTGTTGTAATCCACAAGTTAGTAGGAATTATTAGCTAGAGGATCATTACTACAACACTTAACGAATGATGATTGAAAGTACATGTAAGTAGACAGACTATGGATCACATATCTAAGAAAGGTCAATGGATTAAGACCGAAGCTGTTTAGCCAAATGATTAATTCCTGGAAAGAGGAATTATTCTTCGTCAGGCTTCCAGGAACAAGATTACCTCTCTAGGGATAAGGTTAATCGGATTATACCTTCCTTGAGAGGTGGGGTGAAATGGTTGAGGGAGATGGCGGACTGGAGGCAGTCTGATTGTGGGAGTGGAACTGGGGAGTCCTCCGCCTCTCCGTTTGCGGCAGCAGCGAAGTGTAGCAGACAGCTATGCGAGAGCCTGTTGTGATCTTAGTGACCAAGTTAAGTCTGCAGTATGTGAGTATTGAATGTAAGACTAACCGGGTGTGGAGCGTTGTAGTAATCATTCCGTATTAGGGACTTAGGCGAAAGTTACGAGTGTGGGTGGTGATCGCGGAGGTCAAGAGGTCTATGGGTAGTGGAAGTGTATTGACCTAATAGAGTATGTTAATTAATATAGTATTATTTGTCAGAGTCTATTCTTTGTAATTAAATGACAAAACCCGACGGCCTTTAAATACCTTCCATATGTTCATTCATTGTGTTCCAGTACAAACCTAGTGGTACGCCTCAAGGGTCTGGTGTGTGTAGGAGTACACGGTGGTGGTAACGGTTGCTGAGGCAAGGTGTTATGTGTTGTGTATTCGCTGTATTCGGAATGAACCGGGGTTCAGCGTCACGACAACTTGCAGATAAATTTTGTATAAATATGTTTGTCAATTAATGTTAGTAATAGATTTACTATTACATATATGATCTTTATGTTCATTACAATTATGTAAATACTACAAACTCACCTACAAATTCTAGTTAGTTCTTTAGTGTAAGAATAACAGCAATCACTTGTTAAATATGGAGCATTCTGGTAATGGCAAAGATGATGCATAATATTTTCAATTACAGCTGTTCTTGTGTGAAATCTTTGTAATATGACAATGACTATGTAATGGCCCCTTAAAAATGTTAAAAAATATTTCCTAACAATATATTTTGCGATAGAGTATATAGTAATTCCCCAAAAAACTTTAAAAAACCTATTTTACACAAACGTTCATAAAATTATAACTACTGCACTAACAAATAATAACACACAATACTGTATATCGGTGAATAGGTACGGACAGAGATGTGTTGCGGGACTGGGGCAGATTCCACAAACTTTAGCAAAACTAAAATATACTTTGACATTACTGTACACTCAAATAAATGATAATCCTACATAATTATAAACTTAAATGATTATATAATTTATTTAAAATAAAATAAAAAATAAAATATATTTATTTCATAAGAATAACAAGTTAATTATCAGGAGAAAGTGCCAAGCCATCACGACTATATAGATAAGAATAACAAGAGAAATTCTATTTACTAAACTGAGTGTTTATGATCATGTACTAAACCAAATATTTTAATCTAAAATAAAAATAACAATGTCATCTCAAATACTTGAGACAAAAACATATAAAATGTTATTAAGTAGGCCTCTTTGGATTAGAGTTTAACCAAATTACCATGAGTTATATACTGCTATAAAGAGTAAACAAAGAACCAGCATTGAACATAATGACATGCCTCTTCCTGGTAAGGTCTTGATGACTCCCTGGTTATCTTACATGATGGCTCCCTCTGGTGAGTAACTTGAGCCATGGGAGCCCTAAATAGCCTAGCAGGGACCTGAGCCAGAATGTGGTCCCCTCACAGAGGTATAGGGACCAAGAGATTGCTACAATCAACCTCACTGAGAAAACATCCAGAGTATAAGTGAAGCAATACAGACAACTGCAAGGTTCAAAGAAAACGCAACAGCCACATGACTTATGAGCAATTCATCAAGACTCAAATGAATTATTCTAAACAAACTCAGGTTGTGAATGGATGCCAACAGGTGGCAGTACCACGGGAGCTCAAGGCTTCTGCGCCATCTTTGCCAGAGTCTGGAACTCAAAATAATGAGCTGCCAGGACCTTGGTTAAACCCCCAAGCCAGAGCATCAGCCCGGTATGGGCTGATACTGTCTGCTTCTATCTGGACTTAAAAAAAGTCATTTGATACAAGTCCCACACACAAGACTGTTCTGGAAACTAGAAAACAGTGTGATGGTCAGGCCACTGACTTGGATGAAAATTTTTCTAATGGAAATAGAAATGAGAGCAGTGATCAAGGCAATATATTAGATTGGAGAAATGCCATTAGCAGAGTACCACAAAGTTCAGTCCTAGCACTAGTAATGTTCACAGATAATAAGTTACTAGGGAGGAGTGTATATGTGTATATATATATGTATATATATGTATATATATAATACATACATACATACACATACAGTATAAAACAGTGTTGAATGTAATGAAACACCAGTTTCTGGGTAAGACCCAGAGGCTCCCCGGAGCTAACCGGGCTGATATGAATGTATTAGACCATGGCATCAATCTAAGCCAATGGAGTTCTATGCCTACTGGGGACCACGAGCCAGAACCTGGCCCCCTCAGAGAGGCACGAGGAGCAATGGCCTATAGAAACCCCCGTGTGGTTGGAATCATTCTATGTTTGCCATTGACCGGGTCTGGCACCGAGAAAGGTAAGCGCCCCAAAACAAACCCCTATTCTGGTTAAGAAATTGCTACTGAAAGTCGAACTGGTGGACAGAATTCCTCAAATGATAACAAGCAAATGAGCATGACGTCAAACCCTCTTGAGCACCCCTCAAACTCGCACAAGGTGAGAGGGGACCCAGGGGTTGCTTCCATCGGATCGAAGTGCCCCCACAGGGTTTCCCAGGGTCCTTAGATGGAACTCATGCTAAGGGAAGCTCAGGCAGGGTACTGCTAACCAGCGCTCAAAGTTCCCAACAAAATGGCTAGAGCTACTCCCCCTGGGATGTGTACATTCACGGGGTCTTAGCGGGGGACCACCAAGATACAATCGGGCGACACCAAAACCAAGTGGGCAGAATCCCCCACCAGGCAAGAAAAAAATAAAAGAGGATAACGTACCCACGCGGAACAGAGCCAGCCGCTATGAGAGGTGACAACTAGCTGCACAGTACCCTGCGCCCCAGTGACGAATACTACCCCTACAAGAGGCAAACGGAGGGTGAAGGAAACACCCCAGCTGACTCCAAAGGCGGCCAATCACAGAGCAGCAAAAGACCTCACAGAGGTAACCCCCTACGGTGACTTGTGGAAGATAGCTCCAAACACCAAGGGCAGTACAGTACTTACTGGGCATCTAGGGAAGGTGACCCTAGGCAATTCAGCCCGAGTACTTGTGAATATACTCCTGGCTCATGCACCACTGAGGACAGCACCACACCACAAGGCACTGTACTGGAAATCAGGAGCCCGAGTTGCACGACTTTGCCAGCCTCACATCAGCCACAGAACTGGTGTGTGGATAGCCAGCGCGGGGGTTTGGAGCTACCTCTTTCCCATCCTGGGAAGGGGGGAGTTCTGCAGACAGCGGCGCGGTGACGTAGTGACGTCATGCTCATTTACTCGTTATCATTTGGGGAGTTCTGTCCACTAGTTTCTCTTTCAGTAGCAATTTCTTAACCAGAATAGCGGTTTGTTTTGGGGCGCTTACCTTTCTGGGTGCCTGACCTGATCAATGGCAGACATAGACTACTTCCAACCACACTGGGGCTTCTATAGGCCATTGCTCCTCGTGCCTCTCTGAGGGGGGAAGGGGCAGGTTCTGGTTCGTGGTCCTCGGTAGGCCTAGAACTCCATTCACTTACACTGATGCCAGGGTCTAATACATTCATATCAGCCTGGTTAACTCCGGGGAGCTGAAGGGGCTTCCCCTAGAAAAAAAATTAAACGACTGTCATGATCTTCAAAATGACCTAGGCAAAACAAGTGAATGGAGTACCACATGGCAGATGGAATTAAAGTAAATAAATGTAATGTAATGGAATGTGGAATAGGAAAAAAACAGGCTTTACTCAACCTATTAATTATGGGAAAAGATATTAAAAATCCTTGCAAAGGAAAGAGATCTAGGAATTGTTTTAAATAGTGTAGTAAGCTGTTACCAGATGACCACAAAGAACATTGTGCAAGGAGCTATGCTACACTTTCCAACTTCAGATTCACTTTTAAATACCTGGAGGTGAAATACTAAAGAAATTGTTCATGACTTTTGTGAGACCAAAATTGGAATATGCAGCAGTTGTATGGTGCCCTATTTTTCATAAAGCACATCAATAAACTGGATATGTGGGTTGGGTTTCTAATTTTTAGCCACGTTATTGCGACTTGCTCTCTGCTTAACGCATACAAACATAGATGTGGCGAGATAAACAAAATATTAAATTTAAAAGATGCTGGTGAAAACAACTGGTATCGTCACTCTGGCAAAGACAAAACTTGAAGAACCATTTTTAAATAAGGTGATTTTCCCAAGTGACTACTCAGTTTGAAGATTTGACAGAAGACAAAAAAGAGGTAGAGTCAACACATTGCTGTACTAGTGAAAGTGAATCTAAAAGGAATAGGAATCAACAACCTGCATGTTGTGGACCTGGTGCACTAGAGGTCCACTGGAATTAGAATACACATCAGTTGAGTGGTGTCTGTATCTCAAGAAGCCCATCAATAAACTAGAATGGGTACAATGACAGGCTACTAAATGGCATCTAGAACTAAAAAAACAAGAGCAATGAGGAGAGTAAAAGCATTAAAGCTGGAAGACAAAAGAAAAAAACAGGTGATATGATCACCTGCTACAAAATAGTGGCAGGAATCAACACAGTTGACAAGGAGGAACTTTTGAAATTTGAAACTTCAAGAACAAGAGATCACAGATTCAAGCTAAGGAAACAAAGGTGCAGAAAAATATACAAAAGTTTTCTTTTGCAAACAAATTTGTAGATGACTGGAAAAATTTGAGAGAGATGGTGGATGCCAAACTGGTCAGTAGTTTGAAAATGTCATATAACGAAGATTATATGGAGGATAGGACTCCACGAGCATAGCTCTCATCCTGTAGCTATACTTTGTTACAGTACAAGTATGTGACATGAACATTGTCCTCCTTTGTTGCCAGCAAATGTTTTAGAGTAACTTTTCTATCAAGACTAGAAAGCTGAAATTTCTCAGCTACTGATATAAAATATTAATACATTATGTTAAAAATGAAATTAATTCACTGATAAGATTTCAGTTCTGGCAACAACTGAACTAACATTGTAATTCTTATCCTATTTTACATACTTAATTGCTAGTCCCTGACTCATGTCTTCTTCCCCTCAAGGGCTTGCCACTGTAATACAGTACGCAGAGTTGTATTCATTTACAAGTGAGGACAGTGTTTGTCTTATGAGAAGTAGCATACAAAATGTACCATAACCAAGGAATACCAAATGAATACGAATGCTATTTCATGATACAAGAAATATTCAAGTGTATTAATACAAATATGTTATCCATAAAATCCACTGACAATTTTACAGTTTTCTTTCCGAGCTTTTAATCTTGTCTTTTTCTGTTTATGAATGCAAGTTACAAATGTCTAAATTTAGAGAGGGTTGAAGGGTTTGGAAGTAAGAAGCAGAGGTATAGTACATGATCAGACTATAACAATTTATAAAAACACAATCACCAGAAACTAGAACATATCTCCTCATGTCTATTAATACAGTATGTATTTGGTACTCAAACATTAAACAAAATTAATTATTATTTATGTTATTATAAGCACAACCCCATTGAATTTCCTCCTAGATATCTTCCTTTGAAAACATACTAATGGTGTTTTAATACCTTGATATATGTGACATTCAGATTACTATGCAATGAAAACATCCTTATTTTAAATGAGCATGAGCATTCATATAGAAGCAATTTGAATGTTATTCTAACTGAATGATGAAAATATTTCATATACAGTATTACATATAAAAAATCATATATAACATTAAATAATAAAGTTTAGGTAGGAATGAAGTGATTACTTTTATAATAAGCTCTTTATCATATATAACACCTTGTTAGTAAATCTTAACTCAAAATATTGGTGAATAATGTAAGTTATGATAACTCCCAAAGCATCTTCCATTTCTTATTGTTGCTTTACATTACTCGGCACTGTTTCTTATATTCAGCTTCACTTTCTTCATCTAACTCCTTTGGAAAAGGTACCTTACCTTCTACATTTGGCATATATTTCTCCATGCTAAGGCCATCACGCTGGTAAAACAACATGTAGGCAGAATTGAGATCAATTTGTGACTCATTTACCTCCTGTGAGTGATAAAAATATCAGTAGTGAATGTAATGAAACACCTCTTTCTGGTGGGTCCATCAGTGGCTCCCTGGTGCTAGCCACTTGGGCATAGCTATACAGGTATCATGCCCTGCCACGCCCTTGTGAGTTATGAAAGACTTCTGGCATCCAGAGATAGAATCTGGTCCACCCAAAGAGACACGGAGCTGGGAATACTAGATCAACCTAGACCAAGAGCAAATATCACCTGAAAGGTACAGTGATTAAAACAAAAAAATTAATTAATAATAATAAAGTATTTCTATTATTATTATTATTAATATTAAATGTAATTAAACATTATGTTATTAAATAACATTAGATTTATGTTATTCCTCATTACATTAGAAGGAGACCGAGCCAAATCGGAAACCCAACACTGACACATGCAGCATGTCATTGGATGGGAACTATCCACTACTCAACAAGCAGTACAGCAGAGGAAGGAGGGATGAATGAATTCAACCAGTGGAATGAACCAAAACCATTGTGCATCCCTGAAGCTTGCACACAGTGAAGGCAGGTTTGATAGAAAGTTCCATACCCAATCTACACTACAGAGACCTGTGGGGAATTTTCCAGTGCCGGCAGGAAAAACAAACCAGGGGCCAGATTCACGAAAGCACTTACGCAAACACTTACGAACCTGTACATCTTTTCTCAATCTTTGGCAGCTTTGTTTTCAATTATTAAACAGTTAATGAGCTCCGAAGCACCAGGAGGTTGTTTATAACAATAACAACATTTGAATGGGAAGTTTTCATGTTTGTAAACTGTTTAATAAATGTAACCAAAGCCGTCAAAGATTGAGGAAAGATGTACACGTTCGTAAGCGCTTGCGTAAGTGCTTTCGTGAATCTAGCCCCAGGAACACTACTGTAGGTGCAGGGGATGCTCACCAAGCAAACACCTAACCCAGCTAAATAAATATGCAGTTGAAGAAGGTGTAGATGACATGTAGGAAATCTAGCAACCCCACACAATCCAAACCCTCCAGGAAAGCAACCCTGACTGGGCATGGCCAACATTAATAAACATCTAAGGAAGGAAACCCTAAACACTTGCAGCTCAAGGTGAACAAGTGACTCAAGGTCCACACAACAGTGAGACTAAGAAAGAACAAATACAAGCACAGTCCCCTGCAGGACAGAGTCTAAAGGATAACCAACACTTATCTGGAAAAAAAAAAGGAGAGGCCGGTGGTGGGAACATGATGAACTTGTGCTTTGGCAGCACTTGGCACATGATCAATTTGATATCACTGGGGGACTCAAGGTTGCTGGGGGTGCTACCCAGAGGTGGGAAGGTGCAAGTAGTGATGGTAATGATCTATCTACTGTGTTCTTTATTGTCAAAGTTACTAATATTTTCCTTGCAGCTGTATGATTTCAAGCGCTCTACCTTTTTGGCGGTATTTGCTCTTGACCTGGGCTGATCTAGTATCTCCAGCTCCCTGTCCCTCTTTGAGTGGACTATATTCTATCTCTGGTCTGTGGTAGGATATTATGTCTCCCAAGGTTCTGGTGGGGGCATGATACATGTTGAGCTATCCAGTTGGCTAGTTCCAGGGGCCACTGAGGGGTCCCTCCCAGAAGTGCAGTAATCAGTATTAACTAAAATATAAACTACCATATCTTAGATTTATCACAAACCAGCGTTGAATGTAATGAAACGCCATTTTGTTGGCGAGACCTGGAGGCTTCCCGGAGCTATCTGGGCTGATATGAATGTATTAGACCCTGACATCAGTCAAGCGAATGAAGTTCTAGGCCTACTGGGGACCACGAGCCAGAACCTGGCCACTTCAGAGAGGCACGAGGAGCAATGGCCTATGGAAACCCTTGTGTGGTTGGAAGCATTTAAGTTGTCTGCTATCAACCGGGTCAGCCACCCAGAAAGGTAGGTGCCCCGAAACAAACCCTATCTTTTTAAAATTTTGCTATTGAAAACTGAACTCCTCAAACTAAAAACGAGCAAATGAGCATGATGTCACAACCGTTGCCGTGCCGCTGTCTGCTCAGCTACCCCCCCTCCCGGGAAGGGGAAAGGGGGAGCCCCAGACCCCCCACGCCAGCTACCCACCCCCAGTTTAGAGGCTGGATGTCAAAACCACCGACCAGCGGGAGGGAGGGAGGGTTGCTGGGGAGCCTCTGGGTCTCACCCAGAAAATGGTTTTTCATTACATTCAACGATGGTTTTCTGGGGGGAGCCCCTTTGGCTCTCTGTAGGTACTTAACCAAAGATAAAACGAGAGGGACCTTGGAGGCAGTTGCCACTTGCTCCTCAACTCGAAGTCGACTTGAAGGAGCATCAACGAAGCCACCTGCTCTCTGTACAAATGGTGATAGACCCACCTCAGAAAGATTAGACGTAAAGACTTGAGAAGATCGAACCAGCTACGTAATGGACTGACCCAATCTGCTGAAAGAGGCGGAGCCACAGGAAGATCCCCCGGGTTCGGACATCAAGCAAGCAGCGCCTGAAACCAAGGCTGGGCCAGTCACCAATGGGCCAACAGGATTACTCTCTTTTGGTAAATCTACAAGCGAGCGAGGTGGACCTGGAGCAACAGCAGAACCGGGGGCTACTACCAGTGACGAAACTTCCTCCTAACCAGAGGCAAACAGAGGCGCATGAAACACCCCAGCTAACTCCAAGGGTGGGCAATCACCAGGCAGCAAAAGTCCACAGAAGAGGTAGACCCCAAGTGACTTTGTAGAAGATAACCCCAAGCCACAAGGGCAGTACTTACAGGGCACATAGGGAAGGTAACCCTAGGTGCATGCAGCCCGAGTACTTGTGAAATTACTCCTGGTTCACACACCACCACAGAACAGGACCACACCATAAGGCACAGCACTGGACGTCAGGGACCAGAATCGCACAACCGCCAGGTCTCACATCAGCCTCAAAACTGGGGGTGGATAGCCGTTGCGGAGGGATGGGGGGGGGGTCTAGGGCTTCCCTCTGCTCCCTCCTGGGGAGGGAGGAGCTGCGCAGACAGCGGCATGGTGACGGTTGTAAGGTCATACTCGTTTGCTAGTTATTAATTTGGGGAGTTCTGTCCAACAGTTCGGCTTTCAGTATCAAAATTTTTAACCAGATAGGGTTTGTTTTGGGACGCCTACCTTTCTGGGTGCCCGACCCAGATGATGGCAGACATAGAATGCGTCCAACCACACGGGGGTTTCTATGGGCCATTACTCCTCGTGCCTCTCTGAGGGGGCCAGGTTCTGGCTCGTGGTCCCCGGTAGGCCTACAACTCTATTCGCTTGATTGATGCCACGGTCCAATACATTCATATCAGCCCAGATAGCTCTGGGCTCCCCCAGAAATATCCTTTAACTTGTACTTAAATCACAATTCAAAATGTTTATTTTTGTACAATAAAACAGCATGTTATATTTTTACTTATTTTCTAGTTGAAGCTTTAATTATGATGATAAATTAGATAAAACATGCTGCTCATAAATATTTGTATTATTTAAAGTAAAATATAAAGATGAAAGCAAGATGAAAATCTCATTCAAATAAATTAATTCATTGGAGTAAATGGGGAAAAGATTAACTATTACCTTACAACTGCTATCATTGAAGCAAATCCATTTTCCCTGTGGGTTCTTGGCATAGCAGACATAATGACCTCCCTCCATAATTCCCGTATGACACTGCCATAAAGATGCACACAATTATTAATTGCAAATTATAATATATTCATTATTATACATTAAATGTTATAATATTTTTGAGTTAGTACTCAGTCTCTTTCTAAGGCAAGATCCTACTGGTAACTAGGATAGGCCCTAGCTTAGTCAGGGCAGATGCCTTGTTGGTTGAATGTTTTCTTGGTCCCCTGTTCCAAGGCTAGTATTTCCCAGGTTGTCCGCAGCATCACCAAATCTACTCAGCCTGCAGTCTATCCTCGAGCCCATGATATTCACCAATACGATGCATTGGCCGCAATGTCCTCCAGCATGTCCTGGACTGATGTTCAACCTCAGGGTCTTTGACATTTTACCAAGAGTTGTGGCAGCCCGGTAATTGATTAATGTTCCTGGTCCTAGCTGGTCATGTGTTGCATTTTGCTGTATCTCCTGGCCTGGATTATCTTCTTTGTCCTAGTGCAATCTACTACTACTCCTCCCTAGTAACTAACATATAAATAAGCTCAACTAACATAAATTAAGTTTTGCCTGTACATTAAGTTTTAACTGTATAAATCTGCATGCAAATTGTGGCCAGAGTATATATTGGAAAATCTAAGTGACACACTTCATGTCAGAAAACAAAAACAAATATTGCATTTTTACTACTTGTTTCAAGATTTTTCTCAAACATAACAAATCTTAACATTTTTAGTTTTTAATAGTTGCATAAACCAGTAACCAGGAGGCCTGGTCAAAGGCTGGGCCAGGTTCCATTAACCTCCTGGAATCTTCAACAGGTAGTCAACAGGTAATACCTTTAAAAACTGAAAATGAGAGATGTGAGTTAATTCAGCTTAAAGCATTGTAGGAATAATATTTTTATCCATTATATTAAGCTTTCACATGCACAAAAAATACTTACAGCAATAGCATAGAGGTTGTACTTGAGGTCAAGTGGGTCATATCCCTCCTCCAAGCGGTGCTGGTGGAAATCCTGAAGGGTGTCCCCATATAAAACCGAGCCATTTCTTATACGTCTTTTATTTCCTCCTTCACTACCCCCAACATTTCCATCACGAGGCATCCCTGGATATGAACTGTGGATAATGCAATTAAAATGCCATGTATTTATTAAAATCAGAGAAGAATACAACCCAATCTTATAGGAAATGTGTACAACATTGCAAAACCCTAAATTGTAAAGAAATTAACTCTAGAAAAAAACATTTGAGACCAATTACCTGATAGTTGTGCCAATGATGTTCCCATTTACTGAAGCATTCATAGAGTTTTTACCATTTCTCAACAACAACTCGTCATCATAGTTTCCTTTAATATGCTCAATTATCTGTGAAAAAAACCCAGCATTGAATGTAATAAAATGCCAATTTCTGGATGAGCCCTGGTGGCTCCTTGAAGCTACCATCTCTAGTGTAGGTCCCAACTACTAGGTGCCATCAGTCACCGAGTTCTCTGGCCCACCAATAACCCAGAGCCAGGACCTGGTCTCCTCACAAAGGCAAAGGGAGCTGTGGTATTTATATATTAAGTTATTCATTTATGCCACCTTTAGGAAGATACCTAGAAAGTCAGTGAGTCAAAACAAACCACAGCTGGCTGCCTTTGAGACCTGCAGGCTGAAAAACAGCCACAGAACTCCCCAAACTATGTAAACAAACTGTCAAAAATGTTATAAACCAGTGCCCGCTCATTTGCCTCACTCTCTCCCGGGAAGGAGGAGGGAAGGAAGGTTGGCTCTCAGGTAGCTACACCATCAGTTTGATGAATGATGTAAGGACCAGACTCCCTGGGAAAGAAGAACAGACGGAGCCACCAGGGGGTATCCAGAAATTGGAATTTCATTATATTCATTATATGGAAGAGGATTTCTCTGTTATATTTGTTCGAGGTTAACTAAAAGAATAAAACTTAACTGTAGAATGTATTACACTGATTAGAAATTTACACAACATTTAAAACCTACAAGGTTCATTCTCAAGTGAGGAGACAGGATGTTGTTGTTGTTTTAGATTTAGCTACTCGGAACTAAAATTTCCATGTAGCACGGGCTATGGTAACCCCGTAAAGAACCTATTGTATTTATTCTGCTGTGAGGTCAGGTACATACAAATAGTTGAGGGCTGAGGAGTAAAGGAAAGAGGCATAGGTCAATAATCTATACTGACAAAGATTAGTCAGGTAATTACCTAAGTGTAGTTACAGGATGAGAGCTATGCTCGTGGTATCCCGTCTTCCCAGTACTCTTTGTCGTACCGTATAATGCTTTGAAACTACTGATGGTTTTGGCTTCCACCACCGTCTCACTTAGCTTGTTCCAACCGTCTCCATCTGTACCACTCCTGTAACAGAGTGGTACAAAAGAAAACTTTCTAATATTTTTTCGACACATTTGTTTCCTTAGCTTGAATCTGTGTTCTCTTGTTCGTGAAGTTGCTGGTTTCAGGAATTCCTCTTTGTCAATTTTATTGATTTCTATTAGTATTTGTAAGTAGTGATCATATGTCCTCTTTTTCTTCTATCTTCCAGTTTTGGCATGTTTAACACCTCCAGTCTCTCCTCGTAACTCTTGTTTTTCAGTTCCGGAAGCCATTCTGTAGTATGCCGTTGCACCTTTTGCAGTTTATGTGCTTCTCGAGATTTGGGCACCATACAACTGCTCTATATTCTAATTTTGGTCTTACTAAAGTCATGAACAGTTTCTTTAGTATTTCACCATCCATATAATTAAAAGCAAGTCTGAAGTTGGAAAGCGACACATACGCTTCTCTCACAATGTACTTTATGTGTTCCTCTGGCAACAGCTTACTAGTCTATTTCAATTCCTCATTCCATTACATAGCCTTTTATTCACATTGAATTCTATTTGCCATTTGTTGCTCCAAGCACTTATTTTATCTAGATCAATTTGAAAGGCACTACAGGTACAATCGTCTGCATCTCCTATCTTCCCCAGTATCTTCGCATCATCTGCAAACATGTTCATATAATTCTGTTTTCCATCTGGTAGATCGTTTATGTAGATGATGAACATTACTGGTGCAAGAACTGAACCCTGTGGTACTCAGCTAGTAACACTCCTCCAGTCAGATAAATTATCCCTGATTAATACCCTCATCTCTGTCAGTTAGAAAATGTTTCATCCATGTCAGAAGCCTCCCTGTCATACCTCCACCATGTTCCATTTCCAGAACAGCCTCTTGTATGGGACTATCAAAAGCCTTTTTATTTTTTTTAGGTGCAGACTGACACAGTCAACCCAACCACCTCTTTCCTGTAGTATCTCTGTGACTATCATAAACACTAAGAAGATTTGTTACACAGGATCTTCCTGTTCGAAAACCATACTGTCTGTTCGTTATTATGTCATTACTCTCTAGGTAATGGAGAGTAGAAGAACTCCCAGAACCCCCATCAAGCAGGTATCAAGCACGTAGGTGTTCAACCCATTTGGCTTTAACTATTTTTTCAAGTGTTTTCACTACCACGCTTGTTTATGATAAGGGTCCATAATTTAGAGGTTCCTCTCGACTACCATTTTTATAGACTGGTACTATGTTTGCCTTTTTCCATATATCTGCTAAGATTCCTGTGCACGAGGATGTCTGGAACATTAATTGAAGTGGAATGCTCAGCTCAGTTGCACATTCTTGCAGCACCCATGGTAAAACTCCTCCAGGTCCAACCGCTTTATTTTTTCCTAGCCTCGTGAGTAATTTTTTCACTTTGGCTTGAGATCTTTATATGTATTCTATGGTGTGCTCTGGAATTGGTATTTGGTCCAGTTCTCTGAAGTCCTCATTTTGTACAAATACAGTTTGGAACTGTTCATTCAGCATTTCACACATTTCTTATTCATTCTCAGTAGTCCTGTTCCCTGTTCTCAATCTCTGGATTTTATCTTTTACATGCAGCTTGCTTTTAATTAATTTATAGAAAAGCCTGGATCTGTTTTACATTTGTCCGCTATATCTTTCTCAAAGTTTCCTTCTGCCTCTCTCCTCACCGCTGTGTACTGTAATGGTTTCTTGCTGGCTTGTATTGCTGGTATGTTTGCAGATTCGGCCTCTTCCGATATTGTGCCCATTTTCTTGTCTTTTTCCTCTCTGGCCCTTTCATAAGCACAAGATGTGCCAATCACAACCCCAGACTTGCCCCAAGGTGAACGCCACCACAAGTGAGGTGGACCTCTGAAGGAGCGTCCCCCCAAACACTTGAGGGAAGAAAATCTCGGAGGTGCAAAGGAAGCACCTTCCTTAACCTGAAAACATGCAGCTCCAAGTGCACAAAACTCCTGGCCGACACACACACAGACATGCAAGGAACAGACACCAAGGAAAAAACCCTAAGACAAGCACTGGGGCCAGAGCGACTGTGGCAGACCCAGCACACATCAGAGGAGAACTGATGGTGGAGCAGGCTATGAGCAGTGGCCTGGCACAGGCTGTCCCCCTTCCTCCCTCCAAACAAGGGGAAAGGGTGGGGTGAATGAGCAGGTGGTGGTTCATAACATTTTTGATTGTTTACGTAGTTTGGGGGAGTTCGATGGCCATTTTTGAGCGTACAGGTCTCTGAGGCAGCCAGCTGTGGTTTGTTTTGACTCGCTGACTTCTGGGTGCCTTTCTCATTGGAGGCATAAATGAACTAAATGTATAAATGTCACAGCTTCCTTCGTCTCTGTGAGGGGAACCAGGTTCTGTCTCTGGGTTCCAGGTAGGCAATAGAACTCCATAACTGATGACACCTAGTAGTTGACACCTACAATGCAGATGGTAACTGGAGGGAGCCACAAAGGGTTTCCCTAGAAAAGATAATCCAAAAATTACAGAATAATGTTACCATTATAAAGACTAATACCAGAAATACAAATTTGTATTTAGCATTTTAGAATTAATATGTACAGTACTGTATATATAAGTGCCAAAATGCTATCAGGATTCTTACCTTATTTTCAGGTACCACTTCTAAAAATATATTATCTTTATCTTGAAGATTTGCCATATATACAGCTGGTTCAACTCCTTCCAGCTCTGCTCTATGCAGATAGATTGTTTGTCGGGGTACAGAAGCCAAGTACTCTGTTGGATCGAAGTCTCTTAAGGGAAAGTTAACAATTTTCTGGCTCTTGATCCATTTGTTACTGACGAATTGAAACCTCTTCAGATGAACTATCTAAATTTTGGGAACAGTAAATAAACAAAGGTCAGAAGGAAATTTAATTAATATTAGAGTACTTGTAAATCTTAATTCAGTTCAAAGTGGTGTCACTTCATTTTTTACAGTACAAAACCATAAACAAAATTACTACATATTTTTCTGTAAATTATAAAATTGAAGTAACTGCCATGAATAATTCTTTGCTCAATGATGCCTTTAACAATCTTTTGTAGCACTGCTGAAAATTAAGAAAACTTCATCAAACTACTACAAATTCGAAAACAGAGGTACCACTGTACATTGATTAGTGGACTCTCAGCATTGGCGAAGGCTTGGACAAACAATCCTTGCTTAATCGAACTTGTATCTTCCACTGAATAATTTGTACCACATACAATTTGTTTGGACCCTCCAGGAATTTGTTAAGAGTGGGGTTCATAAGAGTGAGGACTTGCTATGGCTAGAAAAAGCTAATGTGTAACTTGAAGTTCCTAAGAGTCAGGTATCACTCAACAAAATATAAATATGTTCAATCCCCATTTATTCATTTTTATGGGTAGAAGGTATGGGTCTATATATGGGTAGAGGGTATGGGTCTATGTATGGGTAGAGAAAGGCATAGGACACACAATAAGCCACTCCCATAATTATGTCCACATGCATAATTAAAAAACAGAACATGGACAATCCCTGCCCAGGAATCTCCCATGACCCTATGTGTTTCATCTACAGTACTTGATGGCAAAATATGCTTACTCCAAGTAATGTTTTTCACTTTCAGAGGAATTTTGCAACTGCATTATTAAAAAACTTACCAATATAGGTGGTAATCTCCATATTTGCAATTTTTTGGATGCTTGTTGGATCTTTTTACACTTGTCACAGGAATACTCAAGAGTTTCTTCAGAACAGAAAGCTTCTAAGCAGTCTGACAGTGCAATAGGTTCTACATGTTTGCGACGCATCTCTTCAACACTACCATGTTCCATAAATACCTGTTAGAAAAATTTAGTGTTGATATACAGTATACTGTACTTAAAAAACACAATTATATTTAATCCAAAGTAGCACAAAAATAAACCAAGCAATACATATTACAGTACTTAATTAATGCTAACCCTCTCTAAAGCTGTTTGATATCGCAGATGAAGAGCTGTTGGGTCCCAATCAATGGCAAGGAAGGCAGCATTCTGAGAGAAATTGTCATCATCACACGGCAACTGACATCCTCTACAAAATCTATACCAAGGACACCATGCACACTGAAGCCCTTCACGCTCAACAACACGTAGGACAAAAGGGAATTCATAACCCAAGCTGTCATCACTGAAATGATAACCATACATTATTTTATGCATATGAAAACATGAACAAAGATGTTGAATAAAACTAATCATTTAAATGTATGCAAAAAGCAATCTTATAACAAATATCTGACATGTACATTTAAGGGACCCCAAGTGAATGTTGAGTATTTTTTTATATTGTAAAATTTTACATTGCCATGTTAATGTCCTGCCTGACAGCTCTGGAGGAGCTGACCGCCTCCATCGATTACACTGTCAACATCTCAATTTTGCCAGACTTCCTTGCACTACTACGGCTTGCCCTAATGCAGCCAAAATATGTTAATTACGATCCCCTTCCCTGTGGTCAAGAAACACAAATGAACACTTTTTTAAGACAGAAAAACCAGCATTGAATGTAATGAAACGCCATTTTCTGGGTGAGACCCGGAAGCTCCCCGGAGCTATACCGGGCTGATATGCTAATGTCAGACTTTGGCATCAGTCATGTGTATGGAGTTCTTAGGGCCTACCAGGGACCACGGCCAGAACCTGTCCCCCTCAGAGAGGCAAGGGGAGCAATGGCCTATAGAAATCCCCGTGTGGTTGGAAGCATTCTATGTCTGCCATCAACCGGGTTAAGCATCCAGAAAAGTAAGCGTCCCAAAACAAACCCCTATTCTGGTTAAAATTGCTACCAAAAGCCAAACTAGTGGATAGAACTCCCCAACAGAAAACAAGCAAACTAGTATGACGTCACATGTCACCGCGCCATTGTCTGCGCAGCTCCCCCCTCCCCGGGAGGGGGAAGGGGGGAGCCCCAGACCTCACACGGCAGCTACCACCCATCAGTTCTGAGGCTGGATGTCAAAACACGCGAAAACCGCCGACCGGAGGGAGGGAGGGAGGGTTGCCGGGGAGCCTCCAGGTCTCACCCAGAAAATGGTGTTTCTTTGAAACACTTACCAATCATGAGCATGGTTGGGTCCGGCAGCTTCAGTTGGCGGTAGAGGCGAGACTAATCTTGACACCTGCGTCCACACGCCTTGATACAAATCCTGAAATATTAATTACTTTTACCAAAAGACATGGCAGGATGTGCAAAATAGCCCAACTGAAAAGTAGAGGTGCAATAGGCACGCTGAGAGAGAACGTGATCAACATCAAAGGCTCGTGACTTTCTACACTACCTCTACATATACAGGGCATAACTAGCCGCCCTCTAAAAGTGGTCAAAAAGAGAACTCGACAAGCATCTGTAAAGGATACCTGATCAACCAGGCTGTGACTCGTACATCAGGCTGAAATCAGCTTGATCAGAGACTGGACCACCGGGACGTTGATCGTCGAAATAATCAACAGGTAATAACAGATAAGTACTTTATTCCAGTTTTATTTCACTAAGGCTAATTAACAGGTAAATAAATTATGATATCAATTTGTACAGCAAAAAAAAAAAAGCATCATATGTAATGAAACGCCAGTTTGTAGACGAGCCCTAGAGGCTCCCTGAAGTTATCACACTGATTAAGTGCCATACTATTAGATGTTATCAGTCGCGGAGTTCTATTGGTCTACTGAGGATCACGAGTCAGAATCTGGTTCCCTCAGAGAGGTGCAAGGAGCGATGGCCTATGAATACCTTATATTTAAAGTGTATCATCTTTGCTACCATCCAAGGAAAGGCACCCAGAAAGATAGGCAAATCAAAACAGATTATTGCATGATTAAAATGAAACCACAGCCTCAAAATTGCCAAAAGAACTCCCCCACATTGAAAACAAAATTGTGAAACTAGTGCCCCGCTAGTTTGCCATTGGTGGAAGGAGGCAGTACTGGGTCAGCTGGACCGCTCACAGTCCAGTTTTATAATGATAAAACCTGCCAATGACCTGGGGGACAGAGGGTGGTAGGGAGCCTCTGGGGAGCCCCCAGAAACTGAAATTTCATTACATTTCATTACATTTCAGTACTATCAACAATAGGTACTCTGAGAGAGAACTCTATCAACATCAGAGGCCCGAGACTGTTCAATAAGCTTCCGCTACACATAAGGGGCATAACTGGCCGACCCCTCACAGTGTTCAAGAGAGAACTGGATAAGCACCTCCAAAGGATACCTGATCAACCAGGCTGTGATTCGTACGTCAGGCTGCGAGCAGCCACGTCCAACAGCCTGGTTGACCAGTCCAGCAACCAGGGGGGCCTGATTGACGACCGGGCCGCGGGGACACTAAGCCCCGGAAGCACCTCAAGGTAACCTCAAGGTAAGGTATCAACAGAGAAAAACAAAAAGGTTCACTCACCAGGAAGACGGCAGCACCGCAGGTATCAATGCGAAGAAGTGACTGATCTCCACGAGACATGACCCAGAGCAACACAAGGCCACAGAGGACCAGGGACGTTGACAAGATACCTGGCAGCCAAGACCCTGTTAGACCTCCAAAACCCCCCACGCCTGAATATCGACCCAAGACATATTACCAAAAATGGCTGAGAGCGGTGTACTTATGGACATCTTGAGCACAAGGGTAGACTGCAGGCTGGCTAGCTCTAGCTTTAATAACACTGTGGAAAACCTAAGAAATATGAGCCTTAGAACAGGGCACTAGGAAAACCGGATTAACCCACATTGAGTTCACCGAAACAGAACTGGTGGCCTGAAGGTAGCGGAGTAAAGCCTCTACCAGATAAAGTGCATGATTCACCCCCCACCTTCCTGGAGGAACTAAGTATCCACAACTAAAGGACCCCTCCAGAAGCCTGCAGATTTGTTCACCAGAAAAGAAGTAGCCGGCTGCAACCTAACAAATCGATCACCAGGACCCAAAGAAGAAAACCCAAGCGCTGGAGGAGAGTATGAAGCTCACTCAACTGACACCTGGAGGCCAGGGAAAGCAAAAACAACGTCTTCTAAAAACAATCCCGGACCGAAGGGGCCATTGTAAAGAGAGAGGTATAGAGAAAAGAAAGAAGCCAGTCCAAAGACCAGGTGGCCCATGAGCAGACCGGAGGTGAAACAACGCGCTAAAAAGCTTGTGAAATGGGGCAGAAGAAACGTCAACCCCAAACACGAGCTGGCTCGGCTCCGCTAATGCCGCATGATAAGATGCGACAGTATTCTGCATAAGACACCTATCAAGGAACAACCTGGAAAGAAAGAATAAAACAACCCGGTTGGAGATGGAAGTAAAATGACAAAAGGAGAGAAAAAGGCACAAAGACCGCCAAGAATCACTCGACCACCAGGTAAGCACATCAGTAAATAACTGAAGCCGGTCAACCCAGCCTGGCTTTCCCTTCCTCCCGAGAGGGAAGGTGGTGCTTACTAGCAGGGGGAAAGTTTCATTAAGTTTTGGTTGTTTCTTTTCTTCTTGGGAGCCGGTCGGCCGAGCGGACAGCACGCGGGACTTGTGATCCTGTGGTCCTGGGTTCGATCCCAGGCGCCGGCGAGAAACAATGGGCAGAGTTTCTTTCACCCTATGCCCCTGTTACCTAGCAGTAAAATAGGTACCTGGGTGTTAGTCAGCTGTCACGGGCTGCTTCCTGGGGGTGGAGGCTTGGTCGAGGACCGGGCCGCGGGGACACTAAAAAAAAGCCCCGAAATCATCTCAAGATAACCTCAAGATAACCTGGGGGGGAATTCTTTTGACATTTTGGGAGCTTCGGTCTCGTTTTTTTAAACCAGGTAATGGTTTTTGATTTGCCCATCTTTCTGGGTGCTTCCCTGGTGATGGCAAAGATGATAACCTTTAAATGTAAAATGATCATAGGCCATTGCTCCCAAGAGCCAGAATCTGGCTCATGGTCCCTGTAGGCAAAAAGAAGTTTGCAACCGATGACACTGGGTAGTCTGGCACTTAATCAGCGATGATAGTTTAAGGGGAGTCGATGGGGGCTCCCTGCAGAAATGCCATGTTATGGAATGTAGAATAGGAGCAAATAAGCCTCACACAACTTATAAATTATGTGGAAAAGAATTAAATAACTCTAATAAAGAGAGTTCTAGGAGCAGTACTTGGTAGTAGACTGTCATCAGAGGAGCACATAAAGAGCACTGTGCGAGGAGCCTGTGCTATGCTTTCCAATTTCAGACTCACTTTTAAACACATGGATAGTGACATACTAGAGTAGCTGTTCATAACTTTTGTGAGACCACAACTCAACTATGTAGCAGCTAAATGGTGCACATATGTCAAGAAACACATCAACAAACTGGAAAAGATGCAAAGCCATGCAACAAAATCGCTATTGGAATTGAAAGACGAGCTGTGAGGAGAGGCTAGAGATATTAAATACTGTATACCACACTTAAAAGATAGAAGAAAAAAAAAAGAGGATATGATCACTATGTACAAAATAGTAATGGGAATTGACAAAATTGACAAAAAAGAATTTCTTGAAACTGGCAACTTCAAGAACAAGAGAACATAGATTCAAGCTAAGGAAACAAAGGTGCAGCATAAATATTAGAAAGCTTTCTTTTCCCGGGTGGTAGATGGTTGGAACAAGATAAATAAGGTGATGGCTGCCAAAACTGTCAGTAGTTCCAGATTGCCACATGACAAAGAATACTGGGAAAATGGGACACCACGAGTGTAGCTCTCATCCTATTACTACACTTAGGTAATTACACACACACAATGTGATAAACATGATGACCATAAACAAAAACAAAATAGCATGCCATCACAGGATCTAACAGGAGAGATCTATTCATTCTATTTTTAAGGTACAATAAACAGACAAGATACACTCTTCTGAGATTCCAATTTTTATCTTTAAATAAAATCCATTTATATGACATACAATTTGTATTTTCATGGTGACTAACCTGATGTGTTGCATAGGTACTGCAAGGTATAACGAGAGGTAACCCAAATAAACTTGGTCTGGTCTTTTGTGATGAAAGGAAATACACTTCTTGCCGCATCTAATGAACAAAAATAAAATCATTAATAATGAAACTTATTAGTTCCTGGTAGCACTAAAAATTTTTACATTAAACCAATGCAGCTTATAGTAAAATGAAAACTTCTCATTAATTATAATATTTAAATAACTTTAATCTCATGGTGCCAAATATTCCAAATACTAAAATAAAAAAAAAATTGATTGCCAAAATTACTATATAGATGTTACAGCAATCTAATTTAAATCTTTGGTTATTATAGACACTAGAACATGGCCACAGAAAAATAACCATTCAATGCTAAATGTGGGCTTTAATCCCTGCATTGCACCACAGTTTAAATCTAACAACACACTGATACACAAAAAAACTTATTTTCTGTGGAGAGCCCTTCGATTCCCCGGAGCTATACCGGGCTGATGTGCACATATTAGACCATGGCAACCATCAATCAATGGAGTTCTAGTCCTACCAGGGATCAGAGCCAGAACCTGGCCCTCTCAAGAAGAGGCACGAGGAGCAATGACCTAAAGACACCCCCCGTGTAATTGGAAGCGGTCTTTGTCTGCCATCTACTAGGTCAGGTACCCAGAAAGGTAGGAATTCCAAAATAAACTACTGCTGGTTAAAAACTGCAAACTGAAAGCCGAACTAGCAAGCAGAACTCCCCATCAAAAAAAGCAAACAAGTATGACATCACCACAACAGTCATGCATCCGTCTGCATCCCCTTCCCCCATTGGGGAAGGGGGAGGGGGGGGGGGTTGCAGTGTTTGGTGGGGGCAAGTGGGCTAGCTGGATGGGTAACTGGCTGGTTGAGAGGGAGGCAGGCAGGAGTGGGGGTGGGCTGGTGAACTGGTGGGTGGATGGACTGTTGCTGACTGGCAGGCTTCATCATCTATTAACTCGGGACTATGAATCATTAGAGCCGTCACAAACACACAAGAAAATACAGCTTGATTTACTCTTTGATGATGAGATACGTAAAAGTGTACACAAGCTCCAACAGTTGTTGATTTTCTACATACACAAAACTTGAAATTACTTTTACTTAAATAAATTAGCACATCTAAGAATGGTAAAGAGTCATCTTTTCCCAGTTCCATTGTAAACTTCATGGATGGGGCTAGATTATTTAATTTTAATAAAAATGTGTCCAGGTTTCCTTTCTCAGGCAATAAACAATACACATCAACATAACGGAACCATGATATCCTCGGAGCAAGGTGACTGGTATACTATTACACTATGATGGAGCAAGGTGACTGGTATACTATTACACTATGATGGAGCAAGGTGACTGGTATACTATTACACTATGATGGAGCAAGGTGACTGGTATACTATTACACTATGATGGAGCAAGGTGACTGGTATACTATTACACTATGATGGAGCAAGATGGCTGGTATACTATTACACTATGATGGAGCAAGATGGCTGGTATACTATTACACTATGATGGAGCAAGGTGACTGGTATACTATTACACTATGATGGAGCAAGATGGCTGGTATACTATTATACTATGATGGAGCAAGGTGACTGGTATACTATTACACTATGATGGAGCAAGGTGACTGGTATACTATTACACTATGATGGGGCAAGATGGCTGGTATACTATTACACTATGATGGAGCAAGGTGACTGGTATACTATTACACTATGATGGAGCAAGATGGCTGGTATACTGTTACACTATGATGGAGCAAGATGGCTGGTATACTATTACACTATGATGGAGCAAGGTGACTGGTATACTATTACACTATGATGGGGCAAGATGGCTGGTATACTATTACACTATGATGGAGCAAGGTGACTGGTATACTATTACACTATGATGGAGCAAGATGGCTGGTATACTATTATACTATGATGGAGCAAGGTGACTGGTATACTATTACACTATGATGGAGCAAGGTGACTGGTATACTATTACACTATGATGGGGCAAGATGGCTGGTATACTATTACACTATGATGGAGCAAGGTGACTGGTATACTATTACACTATGATGGAGCAAGATGGCTGGTATACTATTATACTATGATGGAGCAAGGTGACTGGTATACTATTACACTATGATGGAGCAAGGTGACTGGTATACTATTACACTATGATGGGGCAAGATGGCTGGTATACTATTACACTATGATGGAGCAAGGTGACTGGTATACTATTACACTATGATGGAGCAAGATGGCTGGTATACTATTATACTATGATGGAGCAAGGTGACTGGTATACTATTACACTATGATGGAGCAAGGTGACTGGTATACTATTACACTATGATGGGGCAAGGTGACTGGTATACTATTACACTATGATGGAGCAAGGTGACTGGTATACTATTACACTATGATGGGGCAAGATGGCTGGTATACTATTACACTATGATGGAGCAAGATGGCTAGTATACTATTACACTATGATGGAGCAAGGTGACTGGTATACTATTACACTATGATGGAGCAAGGTGACTGGTATACTATTACACTATGATGGAGCAAGATGACTGGTATACTATTACACTATGATGGAGCAAGGTGACTGGTATACTATTACACTATGATGGAGCAAGGTGACTGGTATACTATTACACTATGATGGGGCAAGATGGCTGGTATACTATTATACTATGATGGAGCAAGGTGACTGGTATACTATTACACTATGATGGAGCAAGATGGCTGGTATACTATTATACTATGATGGAGCAAGGTGACTGGTATACTATTACACTATGATGGAGCAAGGTGACTGGTATACTATTACACTATGATGGGGCAAGGTGACTGGTATACTATTACACTATGATGGAGCAAGGTGACTGGTATACTATTACACTATGATGGGGCAAGATGACTGGTATACTATTACACTATGATGGAGCAAGGTGACTGGTATACTATTACACTATGATGGAGCAAGGTGACTGGTATACTATTACACTATGATGGAGCAAGGTGACTGGTATACTATTACACTATGATGGAGCAAGGTGACTGGTATACTATTACACTATGATGGAGCAAGGTGACTGGTATACTATTACACTATGATGGAGCAAGATGGCTGGTATACTATTACACTATGATGGAGCAAGGTGACTGGTATACTATTACACTATGATGGAGCAAGGTGACTGGTATACTATTACACTATGATGGGGCAAGGTGACTGGTATACTATTACACTATGATGGAGCAAGGTGACTGGTATACTATTACACTATGATGGAGCAAGGTGACTGGTATACTATTACACTATGATGGAGCAAGAAGAAATTAAAACTATGAAGTTGAATCAAATTATTATGAGGGAACAATGCCAGGTAAACTATTCCTATATGACAGTATTGTAATATAATTCTAAACTATTACAGTAAGATGGAAAGTAAACATTATTATTGTCAGATGAATCAGGATGCAAGACTGTCAGAATAAGAGAAGAGAGCAGATGTGAAGTTATATACAACATTTGGAATGATCTAATTGACTTGGCTCTTACCATTTTTCTATGAAAGGCAATAATGAATCCTTTGTGAGTATTATAAAGGTCATTGTCATGCTGAATTGATGACCTTGCTGATGAAGTTGTTGGTCCCAAGGAATGTGATGATGTCAAACTGCTGCTGTTGCTGCTGCTGTTGCCATTATGTTTAGCTGTTTTACTGCTTGCCATTTCCTGTACAATTCAGAAAAAGTTATACAGTATATAAAAGAAAAAGCAGATTTCCCTACAAACTTTTTTTGTTAGTAAATTACAATGGTTTATTTCTATGCAGAATTATTCGATTGCCTCTTAAAGTAACATTCGCTGACCATATGACCAGCACGACCTCTTGGCACTAGCACCAAAGCTAGTTTTAAATTTACCCTGCAGTCACATAAGAATTTCTAAGTATTCACTGGAGATCACTCAATATTCCCAGAAAGGCTATACCTGAACCAGTAAGTGAATATTTATAACAAATATTGAAGCCTTTAACACTAAGACGATGGCTCACATCTAAGGGTTAAAGGGTTGACATTTAGCACTATAGAAATATGCTAGGACACTGGCCAACCTCCTATTAGGCCTTCAAATGTTCAATTGTTTTAAATGAACATTTGCATGCCCAACCAGGCATCTCACAGGCTTCTTCACCACCTACCACCCTCTCAGTTGTTGATGATGACGATGATGTTTTAGATTCAGCTACTCGGAACAAAAGCTCCAAGTAGCACGGGCTATGGTGAGCCCGTAGTGGACTTACCTCTCAGAAGATGAGAGGCTTATATAGTTTGGCATCATACAGTGTCATGACTTCTTCGTCTGATCCAACAATCCTAGTTTCCTGTTTTTATTTGCCTGCAGTCATCAAAGACCTCCCGTCTTAACACCATTTATGAAGATACTTATATATAATGTCTGTATATAGTGAATAAAAGCAAAAACAGTATGGCGGGAGGAGGAATGTTGGCGAGTGAGGGAAGGAGGCGGCGTTGGCTGGCTTGTGTGTGGCGGCCACTCATTGTTTTAACACACCATACCAACTGAGTGGTTTGTTATGGTGAACAAAACATACAGATACTTACATATAACCTGTGTACATAGTGTAATAACAGTAAAACTATTTGTTTATTGTTTTATGTACATAATAATTGAATCACTAATATGCACACCATACTTTTGAGTATAGTGATGGTTCACACATTATATTATATAAATATATCACACTACACACTATTGAATAATAATGCTGCAAAACAAACTAAGAAAAAATTAATTGAGACATTGAAATAATTAGGCAATATCATCTTTGTGGCAACTCCCGCCTGACAGCTAAGGCGGAGCCGACCGCCTATGACGATTACTTTGTCAACGCCTCAATTTTTGCGACTTCCTCGCCCTGTTGCGGTCAAAATATGTCACCTACGATTTATTTTTCCCGTGGTCAGGAAACACAAATGAAAACTTATATGACAATTTTTTTTTTTTTTTTTTTTTTTGAGCACAGCAGTGTTGATGGCTATTAAGATTGCAGCAGCTTACCTTACCTTGAGGTTACCTTGAGGCAGTTTCGGGGCTTAGCGTCCCTGCGGCCCAGTCCTCAACCAGGCTTCCTCGTTGCTGGACTGGTCAACTAGGCTGTTGGACGCAGCTACTCGCAGCGTGATATATGAGTCACAGCCTGGTTGCTCAGGTATCCTTTGGAGGTGTTTTTCAAGTTCTCTCTCTTGAACACTGTGAGGGGTCAGCCAGTTACGTCCCTTATGTGTAGTGAAAGCGTGTTGAACAGTCTCGGGCCTCTGATGTTGATAGAGTTCTCTCTCAAAGTACCTATTACATCTCTGGTTTTCAACGGGGGTAATCTGCACATCCTGCCATGCCTTCTGGTCTCATATGCTGTTATTTCTGTGTGCAGGTTTGGGACCAGCCCCTCTAATTATTTCCCACGTGTAAATTATTATGTCTCTCTCCTGCCTGCGCTCAAGAGAATACAGATTTAGGCCTTTTAGTCGGTCCCAGTAGTTTAGATGTTTTACTGAGTGGATTCTAGCAGTAAAGGAATTCTGCACGCTCTCCAAGTCAGCAATTTCTCCAGCTTTGAAAGGAGCTGTCATTGTGCAACAGTATTCCACCCTAGAGAGCACTAGCATCTTGAAAAGTATCATCATCAGTATGGTATCTCTAGTGTGAAAGGTTCTTGTTATCCAACCTGTCATTTTTCTTGCAGTTGTAACTGCTATTTTATTGTATTCTTTAAAGGTAAGGTCTTCTGACATGAGTACACCCAAATCCTTTACATTGCCTTTTCGTTCTATGTTAGGATTTGACTGCATTTTTAAATTTCCGTAGCACATGAGCTAGAATTTATTTTCATTAAACACCGTATTATGTTCTGAAGCCCATAGAAAGACCTGATTTACATCTGATTGGAGGTTTGCCATGTCCTCTATGTTGTCTACTCTCATAAAAATCCTAGTGTTATCTGCAAAAGAACATACTATAGTACTGTATACTTTCTCCTTTTTATGTCGTGTAACTGCTTTAATAAATAATAATGCACCAACACACTCAGTTGTCTCCACTCACCTGATGTGATGTATGACTAGATTGTGACGTTGATCTACAGGTACTGAGCTCAAGGCTACTGGGACTGGCGACTATACTCTCTGTTGTACAACTGCTGTGAGAAGGACTACTCACTCCTTCTGGAAATAACAACAAAATTAATTAATAAGAAAAAGACATAAAATACTGGTCTGGAACATACAGTTGTAGCTAGCTACACTGGTGTACTTTGTTTAAAAGTATTATTAGGGCACTTAGAAGTTTTTGTTTATGTATGTTAATGCTACTCTGGGAGATAAAATGTATAATAAGGGTCAATTAACAAGTGTAGAGCAATATTAAGAAACGTGCCCCCATGAGGAACTTCACTCTCAGTGTGAAAGAAAAGGACTTTCAATCCATTCTGAGAAATGTCTTTCAATACAAGCTCAAGTAAATATAGCTTGCAAAGTCTGCTTGAAACACTGGAGGAATTGTTTGCAGGTTGACCTAGGAATGAACCATTAATCATCTAGTGATTGCCAGATCACTTCAGTTCCCATTCCTTGGATAGAGATGTGTATGATTTTGGTGGTGTAAAATGTTGTATGCTCATGAAAGAATTTTGGGTTTGCTGTTTCAACTTCAACACAGAGGTTGCATATACACCTTTATCGGAGATTAAGGTGTTGAGAATTCCATCTGTAATGTCTGACTAGTGTATCCATAGGAGAATGCCTGTTTGTCTTTGTGTTTCTTTGTCTGTCCAAAGTTGAAGGCCAGATGCTTGGGAATAACCTCACCCAAATTTGGGTGGAGAATGGTCTCGGGTACAGGACATACAAAGGCTGGTCAGGGTAGGCCAAAGTTAAATGCTTTAAGAAATATTAGTAATTATAAAGATCCCCCCATGCCATTCACATGGAGTCAAGCATGAAATTCAGTATGTTCTGTGATTTCTGTGGAATTATTGGTACAAAAGAAAAGAAAAGAAAAGAAAAAGAAATATGAAGAAGAAAAGAAAAAGCCTCCGAGACCCATACAGTTGTTTTGAGGTTTCTTGGAGGATGGAAGCAGAGCGGTGGAGTGGGGAAAGATGGAGGGCGTGATGAAAGGGGAACCAAGGATATGGGGATGGGAGGGGTGAAGAGTAGAGAAGAAGGGGTAAAAGACTTAGGTGCAGTTAGGTACCCATTCTAAATAACTAAAAGGAAATGTCTGTGTTTGAGAAAGGAGGGGAGGGAAGGGTAGGGGGAGGGAAGGGTAGGGAGAGGGAAGGGTAGGGAGAGGGAAGGATGGGGAGAGACATGAGGGAAAAGGGAAAGAAAGGGGGAGAGTGGTAGAAGAGATGGGGGTTGGGAAAGGGGTGAGCGACAGGGAATGAGGGGGAATGCTGAGGGAGGAGAAAAGAAGAGGGGTGGAATGGGGTGCCCGGGACAGACTAACCAGGGCACTGCTGGGTACCCCTCCTAGTGATCAATAAAACTGAATAGTGATATGATCAATTTGATAAAAGAATATGTAACAATGCAATCTCCCAAAAAACTTTACAAAAAAAAAAAAACGTTGAATATAATGAAACACCAATTTCTGGGTGAGCCCCGGAGGCTCCCTGGAGGTATCGGGCTAATGTGTGATATATTAGACCAGGGCATTAGCTATGGAGTTCGTCCTACCAGGGACCACGAGCTAGATCCTGACCCCTTCAGAGAGGTCGCAGGGAGAAATGGCCCTGAAAAAAACCCATGTGGTTGGGGGTATTCCTTATCAGCCACTGACCAAGGTTAGGCACCCAGAAAGGTAGGTGTAACAAAACAAACCACCCACATGGTAAGAAAATGACAACTAACAACCGAAAAGAGAGGTAGAACTCACTCCAATCCCAAGGAAACAAGCAAGCAAACTGTCACACTCCACTGCCGCGCCGCTCGTCCGCGTAGTCCACCCCCGAGAGGAGGAATGGAGAGGCCCGGATCTCCCCACATCGGCTACTCAGTCATCCAGTTCAGAAGCTAAGCATCAAACCACGCAAAAAACTGCCGACTGGAGGAAGGGAGGGTTGCCAGGGAACCTCTGAGGCTCACCCCAGAAAATGGCGTTTCATTACATTCAACGCTGGCTTTCTATGAGGAACCCATATGGCTCCCTGGAGCTACATAACCAAAGAAAAGGAAAAGAGGAACATACCCGGGAGGCGACCGCCACAAATTCTTCAACGCAAAGTAGAGACAACTGGCTGCAACGTGCGACCCAAAGCAACACAGGAACGGCCATGAGCAGGAAAGTTAAGCAAATAATGGGCGGACAGGAATCTGTTCGACCTCCAAAATCCATGCGTTTGAATATCATCCCAAGACAAGTTGCCAAACATGGCAGCCAATGCTGCAAACTTCCTAACGTCATGGGCATGAGGATAGACTGCAGGCTGATTAGACTTAATAAGTTGACCAGACCACACACTAGAAGTTGAAGGGACGATGACGTTTCGGTCCGTCTTGGACCATTCACAAATCGACTTGAGAATGGTCCAGGACGGACCGAAACGTCGTCGTCCCTTCAACTTCTAGTGTGTGGTCTGGTCAACATACTTCAGCCACGTTATTGTGACTCATCGCCTGCATATAGACTTAATAACCCTGCGGACGACCTGGGAGACCCAAGCCCAGGAATAGGCAACGAGGGGAAACCGGATCAACCCAAAGTGCATTCCCAGCCACCGAAGCCGAAGTGCGCAGATAACAGCGAAGAGTCGCAACTGAACACAACGCATGATGCACCCCCGGCCTGACCAACCAAGCATCAATGACACAAGGACCCCTCCGGAAATCAGCAGTTTCATTCTTCGTCAGAGAAGAATGAGAAGGCTGCAAACGAACAAACCTACCACCAGGACTGACAGAGCAGAAACCCCTATGCCAGAGGAGAGCATGCAGCTCCCTAAACCGACCCCCCAGAGACCAATGCCAACAGAAACAGAGCCTTGGAAAAACAATCTTGAACCGAAGGGGTCTAACACAAACCGAGGAGAGGAAACATAAGAGAGCACCCTGTTCAAGGACCAGGATGGCTCAGGCGGCACATGAGCAAGCTGGAGGTGAAACAAAGTACACACAACCTGCACACACTCCGGCGCAACTCATGCGCCGGAGGAGAGCATGCAGTCCCTGAACCAACCCCCAGAGGCCAATGCCAACAGAAACAAAGCCTTTGAAAAATAATCTTGAACCAAAGAGGCCAACACAAACCAAGGAGAGGAAGGATAGGAGAGCACCCTGTCCAAGGACAAGGACAGCTCAGGCAGTACATGAGCAGGCCGGAGGTGAAACAAAGCACAAGAAAGCTTATGGAACAGGGCAGAAGAGACATCCACCCCGAATGCAAGCTGGAGCAGCTCTGCCACCATCACACGATACGAGGTGACAGTCTTAGGCATCAAATGATGGTTCTGAAAAAGTCAAGACAGAAAAGACAAGACAACCCGATCCGAAACAGAAGACAACCTACGAAGAGAGAGAAAATAGCAGAAAGAACGCCAGGAACTCTCATACTGTCGCTGAGATGAAGCTCCATGCATAATGGACCTGCCAAAAAAGTCTCCTAGTCAAACTACCCCAAATAGAGTACCACCTCATTCATCTTTGCCAACATACAAGGACTAAAAACAAGAACAAGAAACAAAGTACCGTTCATAAATGGCCTCCTCACGGAGTCAAATGCAGTATTTGGAGCTTTCACAGAAACCTATGCAAGGAAATTTTTGGACAGTGAGATCTGGATACCAGGATATAATCTATACAGGTGTGATAGGGTAAATAGGTCACATGGAGGAGTGGGTCTGCAAGACCTTGTATGCTCGGAGCTCCTTAACTCTACAAATGAGGTTATAGAGGTACTCGGAGTAAAAATAGAGAAAATAAACTTAGTTATTATTCTAATATACAAACCCCCAGATGCAACGGTGTAGGAATTCGCAGAACAGATAAACAAAATAGAGAATAACCTTGATAATTTGGCGAACCCGATACCTGATATTATCTTCCTAGGTGACTTCAACTTGCCTAATCTAAGATGAAGAATAGCAAACAAAAATATTATACCAGGAAATCTATCCTGGTATAATAAAATCAAGGAAATCTAGCATCAGTTGGTGCAGCATGGCTTGTAGGGCATTCCTTGCTGGTGGATGCTGCACGACTTGTCGATGAGAATTCAGCATCAGCGGATGCAGCATAGCTTGTTGGGCATTCATTAGTGGCAGATGTTGCACAACTTGTTGATGGGAATTCAGCATCAGATCGTGCAGCATGGCTTATAGGGTATTCATTGCTGGTAGATGCTGCACGATTTGTTGACAGGAATTCAGCATCGGCGGGTGCAGCATAGTTTGTATGGCATTCATTGCCGGCAGACGCTGCACGACTTGTTGATAGGAATTCAGCATTGGGAGGTGCAGCATGGCTTGTAGAGCATTTGCTACCGACGGATGCCACACGACTTGTCAATGAGAATGCAGCATCGGTGGGTGCAGCATGGCCTGTAGGGCATTCGTTGCCAGCAGATGCTGCATGACTTGTTGAATTCCCAGTGGGTGCAGCATGACTTGTAGACGAAGATTTTTCACAGACCGTTGAAATCATGAATTTATCAATTTTTGTCTGAATCTGATTATCTCTGGCATCGGTGCCGAGACAGTAATATCCTTCAAAATTGAAATTAGCCGCACGAGTCCACAGTAAACAATGAGGACACATGCCCCGACAGAATACATTCATGTCCGTGGGAAAAAACCCAGCGTTGAATGTAATAAAACGCCATTTTCTGGGCGAGACTCAGAGGCTCCCCGGAGCTATCCAGGCCGATATGAATGTATTATACCATGGCATCAGTCAAGTGCATGGAGTTCTAGGCCTACCGGTGACCACCATCCAGAACCTGGCCCCCTCAGAGTGGCACGAGGAACAATGGCCTATAGATACCCACGTGTGGTTGGAAGCTTTCTATGTCTGCCATCAACGGGAGTCAGGCATCCAGAAAGGTAGGCGCCCCAAAATAAACCTCAATCCTGGTAAAAATATTGCTATTAAAAGCCAAACTAGTACCGAACATAACAACTTTGTTAAATCTTTTTAACAACTTTATTCTTTTTAATTAAAAATACTATGTGATCAAATATTAGTGTTACTAAATATACAAACCTCTTAAGCAAGGTGAACTATGATGAGTAGAACGCTGTATGTGAGTGAATACGTGTCTATCTCTGGCACTTCGGCAGGATGATCGCACTTCATTTGAATGGCAGGATGTAGGTGAAGGCAACTCATAGGCAAACAGAGCACACCCAGATACTGTCCTCACACGCCCTTCATCCATAGGAATATACTGTAATGATAAAGATGAAAAATGCACTATTGATAGAAAACAGAAATGCAGTATCTCAATCCTGAATATTATATAGCAATTATGAAGCCTGGTAATTCAAACATTTCAATCTTATTTCTTTTAAAATTATATCTGGAAGGCTAAAATATATGGACAAAAAAGAAGGCAGGTGACACCGAGCACCAGGGAGTGGTTAAAATAATAGGAATACAAGCACCAAACAATCAAAGTGAGGAAGAACACATATCAAAGGCGTCTACTGACAGACACAAATTTCCAGGAGGTTAATTGTCACGGGTTGTCAGGTAAAGATAGACGGTTGGAACAAGTTAAGTGAGAAGGTGGTGGAGGCCAAGACCGTCAGTAGTTTCAAAGCGTTATATGACAAAGAGTGCTGGGAAGACGGGACACCACGAGCGTAGCTCTCATCCTGTAACTACACTTAGGTAATTACACTTAGGTAATTACACTTAGGTAATTACACTTAGGTAATTACACTTTTACACACACACACACACACACACACACACACACACACACACACACACACACACACAAAGAACAAAGAAGTGTGTTCGGAAGTCAAAACCAGAAATGACCAACAAGAAGCAGAAATTAGGCAAGCAATTAGGAAAGAACTGGTTACCAACAGTAAACTGGTACAAAACACTGCAGATAGAACTAAGTCCATAATCACTTTTGGATGTTTAGAGAAGGAAATTTCATCTAGGGTGGACCGAGCGGCAGAAGAGATGAAAATCATAGAGAAAATAGTAGGTTTAGGAGAAGGCTCAAAGGAAAATGTCAGTGATTTTAGAAGAATAGGAAAATATGAGAAAGAAAAGAACCGCCCCTTAAGGGTGACCTTTAATGGAGTGAAAAACATGATGGAAGTGCTAAGAAATGCCAGGAAACTGCAGAGTGATGAGGTTGGCAAATCTTGGTCAATAAGACAAGACCTCTCCAAGGAAGACAGAGAAAAGCTGAAAATGAACTTAATTGAGGCAAAACGGCTAAATGGGGATAGAAATGAAGAAGACAGAAATTCTTTTTTTTACAAAGTGACAGGGACTGGAAAGCTTGTGAAATGGTACATAAAAACAAAGCAACAAGATCAGTAGTGGAAGGGGGAGTAAAGAGCAAAGGAAAAGGGAACATGTTCCTGAAAATTGTATATACCAACATAGATGGAGTGAGGTCAAAAACTTTGGAGTTGCAAGATATAATCCAGCTTAGGGTCCCAGATATTGTTGCATTATCAGAAACGAAACTTGAAGGAAATATAATAAATGAAGTCATATTCCCAAGAGGCTACTCAGTTTGGAGACGTGACAGGAAAACTAGGAAGGGAGGAGGAGTGGCTGTACTGGTGAAAAAACACCTGAAGGTAAAAGAGTTAATATTTGAAAACCCTCGAGATATTGACATAATGGCATTGCAGGTCTGGAATCAGGATGATAACCTGATAATTGTAAATACCTACAGCCCACCAGCAAGCAACACGTGGACAAAGGAAGAACTGGATGACAAACGAGAGGGCCTCATAATGGTCATGAGAGATATTATTGTACAAGCAGATAAAGATAAATCACGACTGTTGATACTGGGGGACTTCAACTTTAGAGCAATAGACTGGGAGGCCTATGAAGCAAGAACGGAGGACTTTTGGACATGCAGATTTGTGAACCTCATTCTGGAGACATTCTTGTATCAACACATAAAGCAAGCCACAAGAATGAGGGAAGGAGATATACCGTCAGTACTGGATCTAGTATTCACCAGGAAAGAAGAAGAGATTTTTGACATCCAGTACCTTCCTCCCTTGGGAAAGAGTGATCACGTCCTGTTAGACATTAAATATGCTTTAAGATATCATCTAGAAGAAAATGGGGACATTGAAACAGTTGATAAACTCGATTTAAAGAGAGGCAACTATGGGGAACTTCGAAATTTTTTTAATGAGTGTAATTGGACAGAATTGTTGCTAGGCAGGGAAGTAAATGAAATGTATGCCAAATTTTTAAAACTATACGAGGAAGGCACACAAACATTCATACCAAAACAGAGATGCAGGACCAGAAAACAGGATTGGTTCGACAGAAATTGTGAGAGGGCAAGAGACCAAAAGACACAAAAATGGAATCAGTATAGGAAGAGGCCAAACCCCCAAACATACCAGCGATACAAAGATGCGAGAAACAATTATACAGCAGTAAGGAGAGAGGCAGAAAGAAATTTTGAAAAAGGGATAGCAGATAAATGTAAAACAGAACCGGGCCTATTCTACAAATTCATAAACAACAAATTGCAGGTAAAGGATAATATCCAGAGGTTGAAAATGGGAAACAGATTCACGGAAAATGAAAAGGAAATGTGTGAAACATTAAATGAAAAGTTCCAAAGTGTGTTTGTACAAAATGAAATCTTCAGAGAACCAGACACAATAAGAATTCCAGAGAACAACATAGAGCGGATAGAGGTGTCTAGAGATGAAGTGGAAAATATGCTAAAGGAGCTCGGGAGGAACAAAGCAGCTGGCCCAGATGGCGTTTCACCATGGGTTCTGAGAGAATGTGCATCTGAGCTCAGCATTCCACTTCACCTGATCTTTCAGGCATCCCTGTGTACAGGAATCGTAGCAGACGTGTGGAAACAGGCTAACATAGTTCCAATCTACAAAAGTGGCAGCAGGGAAGACCCCCTCAATTATAGACCTGTATCATTGACAAGTGTAATAGTGAAAGTATTGGAAAAGCTAATCAAAACTAAATGGGTAGAACACCTGGAGAGAAATGATATAATATCAGACAGACAGTATGGTTTTCGATCAGGAAGATCCTGTGTATCGAATTTACTCAGTTTCTATGATCGGGCCACAGAGATATTACAGGAAAGAGATGGCTGGGTTGACTGCATCTATCTGGACCTAAAAAAGGCTTTCGACAGAGTTCCACATAAGAGGTTGTTCTGGAAACTGGAAAATATTGGAGGGGTGACAGGTAAGCTTCTATCATGGATGAAAAATTTTCTGACTGATAGAAAAATGAGGGCAGTAATCAGAGGCAATGTATCGGAATGGAGAAATGTCACAAGTGGAGTACCACAGGGTTCAGTTCTTGCACCAGTGATGTTTATTGTGTACATAAATGATCTACCAGTTGGTATACAGAATTATATGAACATGTTTGCTGATGATGCTAAGATAATAGGAAGGATAAGAAATTTAGATGATTGTCATGCCCTTCAAGAAGACCTGGACAAAATAAGTATATGGAGCACCACTTGGCAAATGGAATTTAATGTTAATAAATGTCATGTTATGGAATGTGGAATAGGAGAACATAGACCCCATACAACCTATATATTATGTGAGAAATCTTTAAAGAATTCTGATAAAGAAAGAGATCTAGGAGTGGTTCTAGATAGAAAACTATCACCTGAGGACCACATAAAGAATATTGTGCAAGGAGCCTATGCTATGCTTTCTAACTTCAGAATTGCATTTAAATACATGGATGGCGATATACTAAAGAAATTGTTCATGACTTTTGTTAGGCCAAAGCTAGAATATGCAGCTGTTGTGTGGTGCCCATATCTTAAGAAGCACATCAACAAACTGGAAAAGGTGCAAAGACATGCTACTAAGTGGCTCCCAGAACTGAAGGGCAAGAGCTACGAGGAGAGGTTAGAAGCATTAAATATGCCAAAACTAGAAGACAGAAGAAAAAGAGGTGATATGATCACTACGTACAAAATAGTAACAGGAATTGATAAAATAGACAGGGAAGATTTCCTGAGACCTGGAACTTCAAGAACAAGAGGTCATAGATTTAAACTAGCTAAACACAGATGCCGAAGAAATATAAGAAAATTCACCTTCGCAAATAGAGTGGTAGACGGTTGGAACAAGTTAAGTGAGAAGGTGGTGGAGGCCAAGACCGTCAGTAGTTTCAAAGCGTTATATGACAAAGAGTGCTGGGAAGACGGGACACCACGAGCGTAGCTCTCATCCTGTAACTACACTTAGGTAATTACACTTAGGTAATTACACTTAGGTAATTACACTTAGGTAATTACACACACACACACACACACACACACACACACACACACACACACACACACACACACACACAAGTCACACACAGCACACCTGGACACACACACACACACATTGGGACACAGGTTGAGTGAAAATAGCCGAGTGGAAAAGTTCGTTTTGGTCTAGAACAAAATCAAAGATGGCCGCCGCCACCACCCCCACTGAGAATGTAGACACACCAACAGCTGATGGTTTCAAAGGATTCTCAACACAAGATATAAGGAAAGGAGGTGTTCTTGGCAGGTTAGAGATAATTGAGGACATGCAAATGAAGTATGAAGAAAAAGTGCTTAAATTAGAAGAGGACAATGGAGCTCTTTGGAGTGAGCTTTGCACTCTAAAAGGGAGTATGCTTCAACAAGGTAAGATTATTACTGCATTAACAGACAAGGTAACAAATCAGGAGGAGCAAATCAAGGAACTAGTGAAAGAAAATGAGGCATGGAAAGTGAAGTGTGGTGACTTTGAAGAAATAAACAAGAAGATAGACTCATATGGTGAACAACTCCAAGCAAGCCTAAGGGCTAACATAGAGTTAGGTAAGGATCTCCAACTGGAAACTTCACTGACAACTCACATAGAGGAGGTGAATAAAGAACTAGAAAAGTATAAAGAAGAAATAAAAGCGACATATGCTGAAGTTGTAAAAGAGAAAGAGACTATCAAAGAAGTGTGTTCGGAAGTCAAAACCAGAAATGACCAACAAGAAGCAGAAATTAGGCAAGCAATTAGGAAAGAACTGGTTACCAACAGTAAACTGGTACAAAACACTGCAGATAGAACTAAGTCCATAATCATTTTTGGATGTTTAGAGAAGGAAATTTCATCTAGGGTGGACCGAGCGGCAGAAGAGATGAAAATCATAGAGAAAATAGTAGGTTTAGGAGAAGGCTCAAAG